ATCGAAGCCTTTCATCACTTTCTGACCAGCCAGGGAAGGTCATGGACCAACAAGCAGTGGTGGGGCTTGTTGTAGCTCTACAGCTTCGTTCTGCCATAGCACAGCAAAATGTTATTACACTAGAAAATATGCACGACCCTCGGCAGAGAGCGACAGAGGCTATATGAAAGCTTCAGAGGGCGGGCGTGACAAGGGTACCTTCAGGGGACCCTCGGACGACCAAGACGACCACGGGCCGACGGTTTTTGATCGACTACTGTTTTTTAACATGTTTAAAAACAGTAGCCGATCACTTTTTCGGTATCCAATCCTCGGAGGACTGAGGCGATCGCGCCAGATCTTCCTCGAAGGTATAGGGTAGTGCTCGACAGTGCTCGCAGGTTCCCGACTATTTTCGCAAAAATGCTGCCGATCGACCAAAAAAGGGATCGGGTACTATCGGGACCAAAACAATCCTTGGTGAAATGGCCGCTTTACGTACAGGTGATATCTCCCCGACGCCGACTTGTACCCAGACGATCCGTCAGCTGTACACGTGAGAGTCATACCATGACGTGAAATAAGCAAAGTGAGTGTAGAATCACTCGTTTTGTTACAGCAATTAACAAAGCGATGTAAACGTCATTAACAACCTATGACGTTGGTAAATTATATTATATTATATTTTGAATTTAATTAACCAATCCTTTTACATTTTTATTTTGAAATCATCATTATTTAACATTGTTATTCTATTAATTTTCAGCTGATATAATGAATTTCAATATTCACATTAATATGACAATTTTAATAACTGAACTAATCAAATAGCATGAAGTAAATCGAATCTTAGATATCCGAAGCTACAAAATATGCAACTGTGTTGTGTTCACATCTCCACGTATTGTTTGTACATTACATTACGTATCACACGGTATCAAAGGACGAATATAATAACAAAGTACTAAAATATTGCTATTTTTCTATCAAAACATAACGTGAATATAATGTTTTTTTAGGTTTAGTTTCGCCTCTAAATAAACTTTCGTTAATAAAAGGGCACATACTAATCTGTTGTGATGCAGCACCCAGAATTGTTCATATGACCAAAATAAGAATGTAGATTTATCCTATGATCATATGCTACAAACAAACACTTTTTATAATCATAGTTTAACATAATGATTTCACCAAAGACAATTTCAGTCAAACCTGCTCAGGAACCAGTACTTAGTACATACTTCAACGACAAAAATTCACCGATCCATGTGTCACCGATAACAAAGTAATGGTAGCTACTTTGCACACCTTTCATGATTTACTAATAGTCGAACGCCTCTGGCTGAGCATCACGACACTCATTTTTCACCTAATAACGATTAGTCTTAATGAGATAGCATGCTCGTTCGATTCGCAAAATGTCATTAATTACCTACTTTTTGCAATTATGTCTGAATCCCACGCCCAATGACGTCAGTAAACAACAGCACACCTATCCAGCCGCCGTTATTTGTGATATGTCACTTACTTGTTATCATGCAAAAACGATAATACTAGGATAAAACACGAAAAATCTTCCTCTCAATACATTCTTAATATAGAAAGAAGTTAATTGGCAAAATAATATGCTATATTTGCATTGACGTTTTCACTGTTTTCGAGTTTCACTTGTATTGTTAAATCACATTAACTACAAAACGTTCGGTCTTCCTACTAGTTACCATGATGTAACTACAAAAACGTTCGGTCTTCCTACTAGTAACCATGATGTAACTACAAAAACGTTCGGTCTTCCTACTAGTAAACATGATTTAACTACAAAAACGTTCGGTCTTCCTACTAGTAAACATGATTTAACTACAAAAACGTTCGGTCTTCCTACTAGTAACCATGGTGAATGTGATATGTGTTAACAAACAAAATAATGTAAGAAAACAATGCTATGGCTCGTACACACTCCAGGTTGTCGATCTTTGACACCAAATCGCCTTGCCGAGAAATATAAGTGATTGTACCTCCTCAACTGCAGCTGCAAACCTGAATATATTACATGTATTGCGCCTGTGGAAGGGAAACACGATTATTTGTTTTCTCCATATTAATCATGATGTACGGGGGTATATTGTCATACCGAAATAGAAAATTAATTAACAGCGAAGTTGCTCATCAGTCTTTTTGCACCATTTAGTCGTCCGAATCCATGCATCTTGATTGATTGATAGGTTTTACGTCCGCTTCACTACCGAGTAGTTCGGTTATCCAGCAGACTTGGTGCATCTTAAGATTTGTTTATTTTTATACAATGCTCCGAATTAGGGAAATATGACCGGGAAACTTGAACGCATGGCGGATAAATGGTGTTTTATTTCCCGTCCTTCGATCAATTTAGTTCAATCAGACAGTAAATATTCAATCTCATAATAACAATTTTATTTTTTTGTGTCGTTACTTAATTATCACCTTTTACAAAGGAATTGTTACCGTTACATACACTCTGTAGGCGGATAATGATAAGTTGAAAAGTTAGAACGTATGTGTTACAATGTATAGATCAGTGGAGCCTGCAGAATATAATGGTGTGGATATCTCAATAACATGTTCAGTGAACAACTAGAACGCACGCAACAGATGACGTCACGTGGCCTTGGGTACTGTTTACGGTTGTCACTTGCTAGGCTGCTTATCCTCTAGGTGATGATGTATTTGTTATACTAAGTACAGTTCTGATATTGTCAATATTTAAAGGAACGTAAATATATGTGTCACCAATGCATATTATTAGTTACACGGATTTTTGGCAGGGTATACGGGATGGTATGACCCTAAAGGGTTGCGTATTTCCTGTAACGAATTTATTACCCCTTTGAGTCTTTTATATTGGTTTTGTACAGTTCCCCGTCAACTTTTCTGGTGTCAAGATAAAAATGGCACAGTAGATCTGCCTCATTTAGTTTCGTTTTATCAAATTCCTCGAACTGTTCTTCCTGATTCTTTTCTTTTAAATACGGCCTCAGCATGTTTGCCGCTCGTCTGTTCGACTTTTGAGTGTTTTGTGGCACATAGTTGGCCCTTTTGGCGAGTACTTCCTCATCAGTATGCGAAGCGAAACGTTTTGTCATTTTGTAAACATCGCCAGAAGCAGACGACGAATGCGAGTTGTCTCCCATTATCGTCCGCAAGATACAAAGACACGTGACCCCGTATACCCCTTGTAAAAGCACGTGATTCCACCGTATTACTGCTGAGAATCACGTGGCATGACCGTATACCACCCGAGAGTTTCGTATACCCCTTTAGATTTACGAATGCGGTTTGGTACACTGTAGTTTTTAACCAATCAGATTCCTAGATTTTTCTCAAAGGGGTAATAATTATATTGATCTATCTCGACACTCATTCGTAAAGCATGATGACCAAAGTATCATATACATTCGAGTTTTAGCTATATTTAGCTTCATCCTCTGTCGATATCGCCCTGGATCAGCAATATGGTAACATGTGATAGAGTAGATGATGATTTAAGTGTTATACTAAGTTAGGTTCTGATACTGTCAGCAATGATAGGAACGTAAATATACTTGTCAAGAATGCATAATTTTATTGATCTTTCTCGACACTCATTCGTACAGCATGATGACCAAAGTATCCTATACGTTCGAGTTTGAGCTATGTTAATTGTGTTTTATTGTGTTTGATTTATTGATCGAAAAAAAACCACGAAAGACCGACTGTTTCCTTATGAATTCCCCTGCGATAGGGCGATTTCCCATTGAAGTAGAATCTTTCCTTGGCACGGTCACATAAAACTAGTCTACAGCTGTAAAACCAAGCAAACCTTTTTAAAATAACGGTTGGACCACCTATATAGAAACCTATGATCGTTGGGTGATCAAATAGAACATAGTAGGAATCGCTATCCATACACTATTGTATAAAGCCTAGTGCTATACCTGGTGTAGTCTAGAACATGAGCACGTGTGTACACGTATGTATAAACAGTACAGAGATGACCTCGCGGGAGATAGAACATGCAAGTCATCTATACACTACAGACTACAAGGAGTAACGGAAGGTTTAGGAATAATTATTTTTAAAGAGTACAATATTTCGTTTACCATTCGTTGCATCTACCCTATTACCCATGTCAGCATTAAACATGACAGTGGATATATTGGACCCCGTTTTATCAAGTCTTGTTAGTTTACCATGAAAACAAAGTGCGTATCGCTGTGTCGAGTCTAATTATAAAGTACATAATACTTCCTTTTTCCCATTTCGATATTTTGCACCTTGTGATAATTTACTGGAGACAAACACTTCAAGATTTTTTTTCGTCGGATATTCAATGAAATGCCTGATACCACTATGTCAAGTGTTAATTAACTAGGTGTAATATGCTGCCTTGCACTGTGTTGTATCAAGTTCAGTTAGCTTGCTACGATAAAGCCTACGGTAAGGTATCCTATTCTACTATGCTATGTTTGTTAAGCTGCAAGTTAACAATACCCTGAAGAGTATCAAACTAAATTAAGGCTTGTTTATGTCACATATCTGTGAAATAGGAAACGCTACACCTGGATTCGACTTTGCATTTTACGCCAGGTTTTGTTGTCTTTCCATTTGGTTTGGTGTCTCTTAACTTCATTTTAACATTCTTTTAAACTGCAAGTGATGAAGTATGGATTGTCAAGTAACGTTATTAACCATTCGTTTTCATTCGTATCACGTAAGGTTAAATAATGACAACAGACAACCAAAATCGCACAATGTATTACACAATTGAGAACTGCTTAGCCTATTATGATAAAAAAAAATGTTGCTTTAATTAGTTAACGATTTTTGTATCAGAATAAAAAACCATTTCATAAGCTATAGTTACAGGTCGAATGGGAAGCAAGTGAGTTCTGATTGTAGGAGATACATTTGATCCGTCTCCTTTATATTCCATAGACAATATTGCTAGTCCCCAGCCAATATTTCGATTTCGTGCTCTAAAAAATTACAAAGACATGATGTATCGATTCCATGGTTTAATGATTGAATGGTGTATAAAGTTCCTCTCCAAAAAACAACGGCATGACAAATTTACAAGATAATTTGTTTAATACGTTATATGCGCATGGAATATCGAAACCTATATGATACGTTCCTTCTTTTCAGCACTGTTTACCGGTTGTTCATAAAATTTAAGCAATACAATATCTTTAAAAATGCTTATCAATATCTCATATATGTCATGTTGTATTTGATACTTATCACCATATGGGGACAAATGAACGAGTCTGTACTTTTATCATCACCTTCCAATGTATACTGCGGACCATTGTAATTCACATATGGAAACATCAGTAATTTATGCCACATATTTATGCCGTTATTCATGTCCAACAAATATTTGAAATGAGAAAATATCTATCTGGCAAAATATAGTTGCCAGTAAGGCTTAGAGAATAACTAAATGAACGATGTTGTACGAAGCTGCACGTGAAAGAAGCAGTTGCAGTTTACCATTCGATTGTTTAAAGTTAGACTTCCCCACACGTAGGAGCTGAGGTGGTAACAGGTAACAATATCAGTTACCAATCTTAGAACATGTCAACCAAATTATCTATTTTGATAAAACATTGTACACATGCTAGTTCAAATTTAGATATTTTCAGATATTTAAATTGCATTCTTTGCAAAACATGACAAAATCTTCTAGAATAATATCTGTCCACTCACAATATATCATACAGCATATGAGACATCCATTTATAAACTATTTTACACAATTGGCACTATCTATCTTAGGGTAGTTCAGGATCTTTAGAAATTGTTTACAAACTCTTAAGCCCAGAAAGCAAAAACATATGTGTGTTTTAATAACGTCCGCGTATCTTTCTGGATTTTATTTGAAACTTCACATTTTGATTACTGTGTAACGCCATGTCGGATTGCTAAGCTGGAAAATCATGTTTTCCATTTGAACATTCACGTAAAAAGTATGTTACAATGTTGTAGAATGTTGGAAGAAAAGTCTTTCAATATCCACAAATTTTCAACAATTCAGAGAAATACCCGTTTGCATTGTCGAATTTAATGTCACAGTTGTGTTTAGTTATGGTGTCACGTGATCATAAAAGCGTTCCAAACACGATACTTGTTTCACATGGTGTCCCTGCCATGAGGAGTGGTAAAGTCGATGTCTGGTCCAATGGATATGATTCGTGAGGGGTTGATCGATTCATGACTCGCCTGTAACGAGAGGAAACACAGTGATATCAGAGTCAAACCTGTAGAGCTAGACTTGTTTAGTTCCACATTGAGAGTTTTCTGAATGCGAATAAAGAAGCAGTTTATAGTAATAATTGATTAACCATATAGTGTATATTAAAACTCGATTGTCCATTTAAGATAAAATTATGTGCATCTCTACATTTGGTGCCGTATCAAGATGTGACTAGTCAGAGGGCGTCTTGTAAAGACGACGTAATAGGTGTTTTTTCTCAGATATATTACAGACCGGGTAATATGACTAGCACCATCGGACCTAGAGTGGGCATACACGACTTTAGGGGTACGCTACTCACCATGTAGTGTTTAGTGATATGTTCGAAGTTGACGGTATCAACCATCCCCGGAATCTGGTACACGTCCCTTAGGTATCCCCACAAATTTGGGTAGTCCACAATCCGTTTCTTGTTACACTGGGGAAATATATTAAGCACGCCATTTTCAAAACGTTTTTGGCATCGTTAAAGATAAAACTAACTACATGTGTCCCTCTCAATCATTATTCTTTCTCACCGACACCAAACAAGCAAAAGTTATATTCCAATTCCGAATCGTTCATTTGTTACTTTGAAGACCTTAAATGTCTCTTATATACTGATTATCAAATTAGGAAAACCGGTATTTAGTAAGGAACTAACCTTAAAATGTCCTACGTAGACCTTATCAAACCGTATAAGGGTTGTGAAAAGGCGGATATCCGCCTCTGTCAGGCTACTTCCGGTGAGGTAGCGTTTTTTAGACAAAATATCTTCAACCTGAAGCAACAAAAATGCAAGACCATTGTTCTTGTTATATCTGTACCAATAATGTGGACTTAAAGACAGAAAGACAGAATTTAAAAAAACAACGTACAAAAACAAAATTATTACAACGGAGCTTAATTAGCTTGCTTTTCTTTTGTGTCAATAGGAAGGATCCTATGAAACAGTTATGCCTGACAATGCGACATTAAAAAGGCAGGGAATAATATAAAGGGAGACGGTAAGATGATCATTTAACATTTAGGATTTGTTATATAATGGGGTCATATTTACCCTATCAAGACCCTTGAACACCTCGCGCACTGCTACATCATAGGCTTCTTGAGATGTGGCAAAACCACTCCTGTACACACCATTGTTGATCATCCTGTAACAAACTCTTTTTGTATATCACGTGTGCTTTCAAAACAGATTAGAACAATCATAATAGGAAAGGTCTGAAATTAAGGGAAGGAAAGATCTAAAGATGCGATATCTTGAAAGTATAAAAAGTACATAATATAAAATCCACAATCGGCACAAAGAATGGGATCATAACGTAAATCACAATTACTGAATGATATTAATTTCACTTCTTTAATTAATGAAAACAACTCACGGATATATCCACTCGTTCACTTCGTCGATATCCTTCCGAAGGGGTTCTGGGTAAAAATTGAACTTCCGTTGTTTCTCACTGGCACAGAAATCATTGAATTCTGAGTTTAACATCCGGATAATCTCGCTTGACTCGTTGTTTACAATTGTTTTCTTTTGTTTATCCCACAGGACGGGAACGGTGATCCGGTTGGCATAATCTACGACAGGACAGTAAAGTAACAATTAGTGTGACAGTGTCGCTATAGCGTATAATAGGACGAACAAATAACTGAGATTTGTCAGAACAGTGACCAAATTAGCGCTCACATAATCTACAACAACGGCGATATTAACAACGGGAAAATGGGTTTTAGCAAAAGGTAGAAAAAATTGATTGGACGAAATATCCCGGTATTCATTAGTCTTCAACAAAGCATTATTGTACAAGTATAGTATAACAGAAAGACACTTCCCCCAGATCAATATACATACATGTATATATTTATCGATGTAATTCGTTTGTGCAAATTTTAACAATAACGTTATGGTGACATGAACTTAACTGACCTGGGTTCGCTTTTAAGTATATTTCCAGCATGCGTGAACAACCGTTGACTGTGTCCAACGTGCAGTTAGGCTTCTAAATTTGTATATAAAACAATATTAGTATTCATATAATTTCCTTTCTTGACTGGAATGACTGAAACTTTGGTATAATCAAGCAAGATTGTATATTTACTTTATGACAAACATGCTACTGTCGCATCATGTACAAAACAAAACAACGTCAAAAATCCCAGATATTTTCCTGGTTAAGTGACAGAATTGTAGGGGAGAGGCATTACCATCCATCAAATCCATTTAACTTACAACGGGCAATTTAACAGTACAATAGTTTGTTACTTAATACGGCGATCTTATGTCATAAAACAATGTGTCTATATTAGCAGCCAGTCACATTGTTTTCTAAGTGGAGTAAAAAAAAAAAGGAAACACAACCATCGTATATAAAGAGAGAAAACTCTGAAAATGTATGTCTTACACGTTATTGAATGTGGAAGTGTATCGATATAAGTATCAATTTCTGACATACGAGTAACCAAGGTACAATGAAAATATTATAGGTTATGATAGTAGGCGTCGTATGAATGGTTTAAGGAGGAAAAGAAATTGCGAAAAGGTCAAGGTCATTTCCTTTACGGAGTACAAAATGTAAAAACAGTGCGAGTTCTACAACCTACATACCTTGTCCGTGAAAGACCAACCTTCTCCGTCCATGAACCAGTCTACTACATCGTATGAGATGGCCTGTTCCAGTCCTTTTAGTTTCCTGACAATCAGAGTACGATGAGCCCAGGGACAAGCTAGGCTTACGTACAGGTGATATCTCCCCGACTCCGACTTGTACCCAGACGATCCGTCAGCTGTACACGTGAGAACCATACCATGACAAGAATCAAACAGATACTACATTTGAGTAAAGAGTCACTCTTTATCGTGCTCACGGTTGCTAGCTAGGAATATGAACGCCATTTTACTGTTTGTTATTTTGTTTGTAATAGTTCATGCAGCTTTCAAAATTGTCCATATCTCCCACAAAAATAAAAAAATAAAACATATTCAAACATCTACACTATCTAGACGCTATACACATCAGAACATTCTAGGGTTGGTTTTAATTAATAATCTGCGAAACGTATAATTGTGATTGAGTAGCACAATTTAATAGATAGATGAATACGAACTTAAAGACTATTCCATAAAAATCTTTTAAGTGGGGGTATCTAAGTGCAGATCTGGTTAACAACGGGAATAGCAGTAAGAAGGTTATTTTTAAAAGTGGATTCCTAACGCAGCTGGATTTGAATTCGTACAATACTGCTTAAGTATATACATGTATACAAGACATTTCAATCTTTTCAATTAACTGGTCGAATTGGGCACTGGTGTCACATTGAAAATGGAGGAACTTCAATATCGCGACGTGTGTGCCTTACGTTCATCTTTAAAGATGCATGGTGGTACAGGTGTAACCACTGCTGGTGGATGTCTAAGTACGCGAGATTTCCGCAACTATCAAGGGCACAATTACCTAGCACATCTTTTGAACAGTGGTACGTTACATAACAATATACAGGTTTATACAGTATTATCTTGAACCAGTACTTCTCTAATAGTTAAAATTCATCTAATTAAGTTATACGAATCAATCTTCTGTTTTAACAGTAGTTTATACCAGTGTAGATGTCCACCCTTTCAGTCCCTTGCATCACCGATGGGTGCTAGAAGGACTAAACCACTGTTTGGTGAAATGAAATTCATTTTTCCCAGGTGTTATAGATACAATATCATGCGTGCTGCTCAAGTCCATCTTTGTTGACTTCTAACGATAAACAGTGTCCAACACTTAGCTGAGTATTACGACACCTCTTTAAAATACCTACTTTATTTATTTCTGGAATCCTCATGACGTCACCATACAATAAATTGACGTGTCACTTACCCGTTATCCTACAAATTGAAAAACAATGTTTTTTAATGAAATTACGACACATTTTATTTACATTGTACAAATCAATGTTTATCGGGTCGAGTTTCCGAGGCTGAGATATATTTATGTGTATGTACATTGTTAATGTACGGAAAATGACCTTTTCTCATGCATACTTAACTCTGACGTACACAATGTCTATAAAAAAAACATTTAGTCTGTAAAAGTATAGAATCACGTATTACACAGAAATTATTCAATATTTGCTATTCAATTCAATGCTTGCATATGTCTCGCCTATTTGTCGTTACAATTATGTAACGTAGTCGTTATAGCTATGTCTTTATAACGAAATGATATACGGGAATATATATACGTCATTATATCGACAAGGCCATGTCAATATAACAAACAACAGTCATCAACTGCATATTACTTTATGAATGACACCAATTAGTATAGCATGAATGCAAACACTACTCATGTCCATGACTTTTTAAATCTTGTATTCAATGTTAATGATATATATCGTCTCAAGACATATCCCTGTAAAAATAACTTGTACATCACATCCAACCGATAAATGCTTTGCTTATAACCTATTAAGTGATTTTCATACAAAACTGTATAATCTCTTTACTGATTATCCACACCACATATCCCTTACGGAGGTATTTATAACCGTAGTGTGATAAGCAATGGTCAGTTGAAAAACTAGAACGCATGCGTTATTAGCGTTATCAATATTGTCTGCTGTCATACTTATGTGTTGTAGCACAGTTGTTTTAAGCAAAAAAACTTTTGATTAAAGCATGTGTAATTTACATGGAATATGTTCAACCTGAGATTACTAAATAGTACTGCATATAATGTATGTCACAGACGTATATAATCTAATCCGTTGTACCTATCAAATAAGTAATTTTCATACTAGAATACATCAAACAAATGTATGATCGTAGATGTACATTATAAAATGATGTTAGCCTACAGGGATATCTTGTTACAGAACAGCAAATATTGATAGAGCGACACGTTAACATGACTCCATTTGATATGAAACAGTTTTGTACATTTGATTAGCACACGCATATTGAGTCTAGTTCGATAAGTATGCTTACCACTCACGGAAGACTGACTTCTTCCTGACGAATTCCCCTTTGGTAGAGTTGGTTATTTTGAATTCTGTCTTGGAGTTTGGGACCGCCATGTTCCTGCGTTTGACACCTGATAGATCAGCTAGCTGTATGAACGTACGTTTGGTACATGTATGTTTGATGACGTCACGGTACATGTTCCCGTCCACGTGAGTTGCAAGCTTTGTTTACTAAAGGGTAGTACAGGACGCATGGGGAGAACACGAATGAGAAACGTGTTAAATCCAATAACGCCAGGATGTTTTCTACGCAGCAGACAAGGATGAAAATCCTCGATTCTGCAGGTGGTCTCTATCGACATGCAGTGGGATTACACCGTATATGCGTACTAGTTTATACCCACGTGCATATGATTTAGAAGCTGTTGCTTAAAATCAAAATGGTCTCTGATGTAACTGTTCACATATTTTTAGAAAAGGTTTCAATAACACGTACATGAAATGTGGAAAGAGCTGTGTGCTTCTTCTGTGCCAACGGACAATATGTCTAAATTTAAAATTGGAGGGATGTTTTACTTCTATATAAACAGAACATTTTTCTGTTATTGCATTGGTTATGACCCTCACTATTGTGTTTATTTTGAAAGACTGTAAAGTAGTCTCTTTTTAAATCTACCAACACGTGTCACCTTTTTATTTTAGTTAGTTATTAACCATTGTGATATCACCAATGTGGTCAATAATGCCATGCAGTTCATTATCAGACGATATGTTAGTGATATATTCATAGATACACAAGCACCGCCTTTGTAAACTAACCTAACTACAACAGAATGGTCGTTTTGTAAGAATTCCATATGTTATAGTTGCCTGCAAAAGATTGCTTTTGATACATCGATTATTACTGTGTGAATGTTAAAGTAGGCATTTGTTTCAATTGTCAGTAACATACTCTGATATATATGTCTTTACCTTTACGTGGTTTGAAACATGAGTTTGGTCTCATATTTTAACTTCTTTGTCATCATCATCATCATCATCATACCAGTTCATTTTAACAAGGTTGCATGGAAATTGTATATCATGTTCCAACTTATCATTATAAGGGTTTTCAGGGGGGGGGGGGGGATACCTTGCAGAGCCTTGCCTAATTCACATTTCAATTTGCTACTTTATAAATTGGTTATTTTTGACTTTGAACATTAGTCTGATGTCATCTGTCTCTATAATATTTCTTTTTCTTCCACTTGTGTCTCTTATTTGATAATGTTTATATATATATAGTATATAGTTAATTGACAAAAGAATGTGTAACTTTTGCACTCTCCGTATTAAATTTTCACTTGTACGGTATAATTAAATTACCTAAGAAATATTTCCTGGTAATCATAATAGTGTACATAATTAATTTGATAATGTTAAATAAACACAACTATTTAAAGAAAAATTTATGACTCGTAAATTATCCAGATCAGAATTATTAGTTATTATACCCACAACACCAAGACTGCCTCATAAAATACAGCTACAAACGTATGTAGTACTTGTGTAAGGGGAAAACGATTCTTTGGGTTCTCCATATTAATCATGATGACACGCATTGTATGGATGATGACAATAAGGTTGAGGATGATGATGGTGGCTATGAGGAACGATAGTTTGAACGTTTAGGATCAGGATCTGATGAGATAGTGATGCTGATGATGATATTGATGATGATGATGATGATGATTGTGAGGATGATGATGATGATGATGATGATGATGATGTACGGGGCTATATTATGATATCGAATAAGAAGATTAAACAAACAGTGAAAATGCTCATCAGTGTTTTACACAATTGTTGTCGTCTGCTTCAGTCGTCCGAATCCATGTACCATGCTCCGAATAAGGAAAATATCACCGGAGAAACTTGAACGCGTGGCGGATACACGGTGTTTTATTCCCCGTCCTGCAGTAAATTTAATTAAATCAGACAGTCTGTTATATAATGAGGCATAACACTATTTTATACATAATTACAGCAATCATAATAATGCAACTTGTTTTCGAAATCATTTATATTATACTATTCAAAGTAAATAGTTCATCTTATATTATAATACCAATAAGTTACAATATCTCAGAAAAAGTAGTGATACTTTACAGTCTTTATGTCATTGTTTAATTAACACATTCTACAGAGAAATTGTTACCGTTATATACACTCTGTAGGCGGGGTATGGTAAGTTGAAAAGCTAGAACGTATGTGTTACACTGGATAGAGAGATCAGTAGAGCACGCAGAACAGTTAACCGATCAACAGTGCCTTTTATTATGATGTGAATATCCTACATATGTTCAGTGAACAACTAGAACGCACGCAACAAATGACGTCACGGGGCCTTGGGTACTCACTTGCTAAGCTGCTTATCCTCTGTCGATATCGCCCTGGATCGGCAATATGGTAACATGTGATAGAGTAGATGATGATTTATGGGTTATACTAAGTTAGGTTCTGATACTGTCAGCAATGATAGGAACGTAAATATACTTGTCAAGAATGCATAATTTTATTGATCTTTCTCGACACTCATTCGTACAGCATGATGACCAAAGTATCCTATACATTCGAGTTTTAGCTATGTTAATTGTGTGTTTGTACACTTTTGATTTATTGATCGAAAAAACACGACAGACTGTCTGTTTGCGTATGAATTCCCCCGCGATAGGGCGATTTCACATTGAAGGAGACTCTTTCCTTGGTACGGTCACATAAAACTAGTCTACAGCTGTAAAACCTTGCAAACCTTTTTAAAATAAAGGTTGGACGACCTATATAGAAACCTATGATCGTTGGGTGACAAAATAGAGCATAGTAGGAATCGCTATCCATACACTATTGTATAAAGCCTATGTATAAACAGTACAGTAATTGACCTCGCGTGAGAAAGAACATGCAAGTCATCTATACACTACAGGTTACAAGGAGTAACGGAAGGTCTAGGTAGAATTATTTCGGCCACCGTATGCAATATTTTGTTTACCTTTCACACATTTATATTGTATCTACCCTACTACTCGTTTTTGGCATTATTCATTACACTTGATATACCTGACCACGCTTGATCAAGTCTGGTCAGTTGACCGTTTAACAATGTCCGTATCGCTGTATCAAGTCTAATTATAAAGTACCAAATACTTTTTGATATTTTGCACCTTGTGATAATTTACTGGAGACGAACACGTCAAGATTTGTATGCTTCATATTAAACCTGATACTACTGTGTCAAGTGTTAACTGCATGTGATATGGTGGTTTTTACTTTTGTATCAAGTTCGGTTAGCTTGCTATGATAAAGTCTACGGTAACGTATCTTATACTACTATAGTATGTTTGTTAAGCTGCATGTTACCAATCACCTGTAGAGGATCAAGTTCACTTAAGGCTTGTTTAGTTTGTATATCTGTTATACATTTGTAAAAGCGCTAGAACTAACGGGATAAACGAGTCTTAAATAAATAAAAAATACATGTTTATTAACAATAAATCAAAACACCCACATCAATTTTATAAATCAATCAAAAATAAAATAAATGTAAGAAAGTTGAAACATGTGTTCTGGCCACATGCGAGAAGTTCCGTTCATATAAAGGACTGTTTTCTACCCCACAGCGATCATATATCTAATCGAGCACAATACATGCATAGAGTTGCGTACATGAGCACACAACACATGCATGTACCCTCCAACCCCAAAGTATTCCTATATACCCCCACAGACATCCCATGCCGATTCTCCCACCTTCTCCAATCCCTCCCCGGTCCACACAACTAGCACTCGACCCAGTCCATAACACTATCGGCACATCTCTATGGTACCCTGCACTTCTTTCACACACCCGCCACCCTCCCCACCCACATAATAAATCGTAACAATTATACCTCCTTCCCCCTTTACCCTTACTTATAATCACACTATACATTAAAAATCATAAAATGTCGGAACGATGAACACAACTAAGTGACAGACATGGTGAGGTATATAAGAAAGAGGACATTTATAAAGTACAGTTAGCTTTATTTTAAGTGACGAATGATGAGGAGCGGATTACATGAACGAACAACAACAGAACAGCCTCTGCATGACTCTAACCACTAACCACTAACACATTATGTCAGATGGGACTATAAATGGTGGCCCGTGTGAGAACTGTCCATCCATGCACGATCCCTCCGAATTTTTCGAAAAAGAGAAGACGTGATAACGCCGACACAGAGGATAGAATGAGATTTATTTTTGACCGTTAGAACTATTCTCTCTTTATCAGACATTTAGAAGGATTAGTGTTAGGTAAAGGCAAACATTAGGCCTAGGAGTCGTCTTACAAAAAATACAGGTATACGTTAATACATATACATTGTAGGATAGAGGGCTCCTTCTCTCCTCCTTTTCTATTCCTTTACTCCATACTGTATCATTTCTACTAATTTTCCTGTCTCTTCTTCATCTGGTGGATACTCGAACTACTCGATAGTGAAACGGACGTAAAACCAATCAACCAATCGATAGAAAACGCTCACGGAACATTTGGGTAAGATATAGCATTTTTCTGCAGGTTTTTGTTGTCTTTTCTTTACATTTGGTGTAACATAACTTTTTTAACGCTTTTTAAAGTATAAGTGATTAAGTATGCATTTTCAAGTTAGGTTATTAACCTTCCATTACCATTCATATCAAGTAAGGTTAAAAATGGCAACAGAAAACCAAAATGAATTACACAGTCGAGGATCTGTTCAGCCGTTTAATATTTCGTGCTGATTGAATTATCAAAAGTAAAAATCCATTTCAAAAGCTTTAGTTGCAGGTCGAATGGGTCGCAAGTGAGTTCTGATTGTACAAGATGCATTTGCTCTGTCTCTTTTATATTCAATAACCAGCACTGCTAGTCCCCAGCCAATATTTCTATTTCTAGCTCTAACAAGAGATGAAAGACAACATGTATCAATTTTATAGTTTAATAGTTAAATGGTGTACAAAGTCCCTCTGCAAAATTCAACAGCATGACAAATAAACGAAAAGCTTCTTGAAATACATTATATACGTAATACTATGGAATAGAAAAACCAATCTGATAAGTTCCTTCTTTACAACACTGTTCACCGGTTGTTCATAGAATTACAGTTATACTACTTCTTTTAAAATGATAGTTAAAATGTTAAACCTGTCATCTGGTAGTTTATAGTAATCATCATATGGGGGGAAAATGACCTCACCTTTATTTTATCATCACATTGTTTTCTGTTGACCATTTTCATTCACAAATTAAGCAATAAGTGATTTATACCACATGTGTATGCCTTGTTAAATGCTAACAGATATTTAAAATGAGAAACTATCTATATGGTAGCATGAAGTTGCCAGGAAGGCGTGGAGAATTACTAAATTAACATCTCAGTTGAATACTGTACGAAGCTGCACGTGAAAGAAGCAAATGCAATTGATCATTGGACTGTTTATGTTAGCCTTCCTCACAAAAGGAGTTGAGGTGGTAACGGGATGTCAGCATCAGTTACTTATCTTAGAACATGTCAACCAAATTATTTATTTTGATAAAACATTGTACACATATTAATTCAAATTAAGATATTTTCAGATATTTAAATTGCATTCTAAACAAAACATAACAAAATCTTTTAGAATAGTAATTTTTTCACTCACAATATAATATACAACATATAAGACGTTTCAATGACGTCCGCGTGTTTTTTTCAAATTCTGAATGTTCATTTGCAACTCCACATTTTGATTACTGTGTACCGCCATGTTGGATTGCTAAGCAAGAAAAATATGTTTACAGTTAGAACATTCACGCAAACCATCTGTTACAATGCTGTAGTATGTTAGGAAAAAAAGTCTTCCTATATCTACAAATTTTCAACAATTTAGAGAAATATCCGTTTACATTATGAAATTTAATGTCACCGTTGTGTTTTGATTATTGTGTCACGTGGTCATAAAAACGTTCCAAACACGATACTTGATACGTAAGTATCACATGGTCTCCCTGCCATGAGGAGTGGTAAAGTCGATGTCTGGTCCAATGGATATGATTCGTGTGGGGTTGATCATTGCATGACTTCCCTGTAAGGAGAGGAAATACGGTGATATCAAAGTCAAGCCTGTATACCTGGAATATTTTAGTTCTATTATCACGATTGAACACAAATTCACTCAATTCGCCTATATTCATTATGTGTGTATGTGAATCATATAGAGTTAGCCGGTGTATGACTCCAAATCGAGGGTTTTCTGAACGCGAACAAGGAGTAGTTTATAGTTATAAATGATTAACCATATAGTGCAAAGTAGAATTCGATTTACCATTAAAGGTAAAATGATATATGGCTCTACATTTGGTGCAAAATAAGATGTAACTCGCCAGATGGTGTCTTGTAGAAGCGACGTATCAATAGTGATTTCAGATATGTGATAGACCGGGTAATATGACTAGCACCATCGGACCTAGAGTGGGCATACACGACTTTAGGGGTACGCTATTCACCATGTAATGTTTAGTAATATGTTCGATGTTTACGGTGTCAGCGACCCCCGGGATCTGGTACACGTCCCTTAGGTATCCCCACAAATTTGGGTAGTCCACAATCCGTTTCTTGTTACACTGGAAAAATATAAAAACAAAAACCTTTTTAAAACGTTTTTGGGCATCGATGAAGATAAAACTAAGTACATCTGTGTAGATGTGACCAACTGAATCATCATCACCTACCCTCCGACACCAAACAAGGAAAAGGAATATTTCAATTTCGAATTGTTCATTTGTTACTTTGAAGACATTTCATGTCTCTTATATACTGATGACCAAAAGAAAGTCAATCAGTATTTAGTACGGTACTCACCTTAAAATGTCCTACGTAGACCATATCAAACCGTATAAGGGTTGTGAAAAGGCGGACATCCGCTTCTGTCAGGTTACTTCCAGTGAGGTAGCGGTTTTTAGACAAAATATCTTCAACCTGTAGCAACAAAGAAACAAAAATGCAAGACAACTGTTCTTGGTATATCTGTAGTAGCATTGTGGACTTTAAGACAGCATTTTCAATTGACAGTGTGGCCTTACTTAATGCAAGGAATATCATATAGATAATTGATAATGTCAATTGACCATTAAAAGGGAGACGGGAAATTATCATTTTAATGTTTGGTTTTCGTCTTATAATGGGGTCATATTTACCCTATCAAGACCCTTGAACACCTCGCGCACTGCTACGTCATAGGCTTCCTGAGATGTGGCAAAACCGCTCCTGTACACACCATTGTTGATCATCCTGTAACAGTTTTTATATACCACGTGTTTTTTTCAAAACTAGAGCAATCATATAAGAAAAAGTCTGGACTTTAGAGAAGGGAAGAACTGAAGATACGATGTCTTGAAAGCATATAATGTACATAACATACAACAATCGACACATTAAAGGATGGGATCATCACGTAAATCATGATTACTGAATTATATTAATTTCACTTCTTTAATTAATGAAAACAACGCACGGATATATCCACTCGTTTACTTCATCGATTTCCTTCCGGAGGGATTCTGGGTAACAATCTAACTTCCGTTGTTTCTCACTGGCACAGAAATCATTGAATTCTGAGTTTAACATCCGGATAATCTCGCTTGACTCGTTGTTTACAATTGTTTTCTTTTGTTTATCCCACAGGACGGGAACGGTGATCCGGTTGGCATAATCTACAACAGAACAGTAAAGTAACAATTAGTGTGACAGTGTCGCTATAGCTTATAATAGGACGAAAAAATAACTGATATGTGTCATAACAGTGACCAAATGTCGGCTAACATAGTAATATTACAACTGACATTAAATACAACAGAACAAGGGGAGGGACAATGTACATTGCACAAGTGGTCAGCATATGATACAAGTGTTGTACAACACTTTTCGCAAGAGTAATATACATACATGTATATATTTATCTATGTCATTCATATGTACAAATTGTAACATTAAAGATATGATGACATGATAAAACGACTTTATACATTGAATGCTTCAGTAAAAATACAGATCTCAGTTATTATGAATACAAGTGATCTTTACTGACCTGGGTTGGCTTTTAAGTATATATCCCGCATGCGTGAACAACCGTTGACTGTGTCCAACGTGCAGTTAGGCTTCTGAATGTGTATATAAAACAATATTAGTATTCATATAATTTCCTTACACAACTGGAGTGACAGAAATCTTGGTATAATGATATGGGAGGTAAACATATTAGTATAAGTACGGTCGTGTATTTACTTTATGACAAACATGCTACTGTTGCATTCAGTGTAGGGCGTTCGAAATAGGGTTTATATGGAATTTTGTATGAACTTCTTTAACATCATGGAACGTTCTAAACAAAACAAAGGCAAAAATCCCCGAGATTAACCTGGTTAAGTGGCAGAATTAAAGGGGAGAGGTAAATATAACGGTACAGTAGTTCGTGACTTAATACGGCGATCTTATGTCAGAAAACAATGTGTCTATATTAGCAGCCAGTCACGTTGTTTCTAACTGGCGAGAAATAAGGAAAAACAACCATTTTAAAAAATGACAGAAAACTATGAAAATTAATGTCTTACACTTATTAAATGTGTAGGTGTATCGCTGTAAGTATGGAATTCTGACATAAGAGTAAGTTTGAACATGGCTCAATGAAAACATTATAAGTTACGATAGTGTGCATCGTATGAATGTTTAAGGGGGAAAAGAAATTGCAAAAAAAGAGATCAGCGTCATTTCCTTTACGGAGTACAAAATATAAAAACACTGCGAGTTCAACAATCTACATACCTTGTCCGTTAAAGACCAACCTTCTCCGTCAAGGAACCAGTCTACTACATCGTATGAGATGGCCTGTTCCAACCCTTTGAGTTTTCTGACGATCAGAGTACGATGAGCCCAGGGACAAGCTAGGCTCACGTACAGGTGATATCTCCCCGACTCCGACTTGTACCCAGACGATCCATCAGCTGTACACGTGAGAGCCAAGACAAGAAATAATCACTCTTTATGGAGTACTCAGTTGCAAAATAGGAATATAAACACCATTTTAAACCAGAATGAGATAGATATTTTAGAAAATAGAAAGAAAACATATTCAAAAATCTATACTATCTAGACGATATACACAACAGATCATTCTAGAGTTGGTTTTAATTAAAATAATTTGCTAAACGCATAATTGTGATTGAATAGCATCTTGTATTTTTAATAGATTAATAAACTCAAACGAAAAGACCATTCCCGGAAAATCCTTTAAGTAAAGGTACATGTATCTAACTGCAGGTCTGGTTAACAACGAGAATGACAGTTAGAAGTGTGTTTTAAAAGTGGATTCCTAACATAGCTGGTTCTTAAGTTATGGTGGATTTGAATTCGTACAAAACTGCTAAAGTATATACATGTATGCAAGACAGTTCAATCTTTTCAATCCACAAGTCGACTTGGCGACTTGGTCACTAGTGTCATATAGAAATGGGAGGAACTTTAATATCGCGACCTGTGTGCCTTACGTTCATATTTCAAGATACATGGTGGTACAGGTGTAACCACCGTTGGTAAATGTCGAATTAGTACCCGAGGTTTTCCGCAACTCTCAAGGGCACATTGTACACCTTTTAAATAGTGGTAAGGTACATAACAATATACACGTTTCATACATTATTATCTTGAACCAGTACTTCTCTAATATTTCAAAATCATCTAATTAAGTTTTCCGATTCCAATTTCTGTTTTAACAGTAGTTTATACCAGTTTATATGTCCACCCTTTTAGTCCCTTGCATCACCGATGGGTGCTAGAAGGACTAAACCGCTGTTTGGTGCAGTGTAGTTCATTTTTGGCAGGTGTTATAGATGCAATATCGTGCGTGTTGCTCAAGTTCATCTTTGTTGACTTCTAACGATAAACAGTGTCCAACACTTAGCTGAGTATTACGATACAGATACGTTGACCTGATCACGACTGGCTGCAGTTCGCTCGCAACACCTCTTTAAATACCTACTTTATTTATTTCTGGAATCCTTATGACGTCATCGTACAATAAATTGACGTGTCACTTACCGGTAATCCTACAAAAAGAAAAAAATATTTTAATAAATTACGACAAAGTTTTATTTTCATTGTACAAATCAATGTTTGACGGGTCGGATTTCCGATGCTAAGATATATTTGTGTGTATGTACGGAACATTGTCATTTCTCATGTATACTGAACTCTGGCGTACACAATTTTTATAACAACAGTAAGACTAATAGTATAGAATCGGGTATTACAAAGAAATTATTTAATGTTATTTTATTCAATTCCATGCTGGTACAGTATATGTCTCGCCTTTATGTCGATGCAATGACATGACGTAGTCGTTACAGCTATGTTTATAATCTCCTTACTGATTATCCACCCCACATATCCCTTACGGTGGTATGTGTAACCGTTGTGTGACAAACTATGGTCAGATGAAAAACTAGAACGCTCGTGTTATTAGCGTTATCATTGTTGCCTGCTGTTATGCTAGCACTAAGGTATATAGTACATCATTATGTGTTGAAGCACAGCTGCTTTTAAGCGAGATAACCTTTTTTTAGCATGTGTAATTAGCATTGAATATGCTCAACTTGAGAATAGTATATAGTTCTGTTTATAACTTTAGGTCACAGACGTATATGATATATTTGGTTGTATCTATCAAAGGGAAAGTTTTATACCAGAAGACACCAAACAAATGTTGATCGTATATTAACACACTCGATGCTATATTGAGACAAATTTGATAAGTATGCTTACCACTCGCGGAAGACTGACTTATTCCTGACGAATTCCCCTTTGGCAGAGTTCGGTATTTTGAATTCTGTCTTGGAGTTTGGGACCGCCATGTTCCTGCGTTTGACAGCTGATAGATCAGTTAGCTGTATGAACGTGTGTTTGGTAAATGTACCTGTCCACGTGCGTAGCAAGCTAAAGGGTAGTACAGGACGCATGGGGAGAACACGAATGAGTGACAATACCGAACAGACCGTAACCGATAAGTCTAAACGTGTTCAACCAATGCATGTATATCTAAGGTAGATGTGTGGTTTTTTTTAGTTTATCTCTAACGAAGAAGGGTTAAATTTTTCTGCATTTTTGACAAGGAACAAGTGCGTTATCGGTTATGAGATCTAAACTGTTCATGTTTACGCTTTTATTACGGGAAAAACGTCCTTAATATCCCCCATTAGAGGAAATAGTATAGATTCCCCAAGAAAATATCACTGTCCTCTATATACTCCTTATACATATGTACGTACCAAGGCAAACACAACACCTACATTTGTAAGCACGGACGGAGTCGGCATTTATTCATAAATTTAATATGAATATAATGAATACGCATTAAGAAAAGAACTACCCTGACTTCATGTATCGTACACACAAACAATCCTCCCACATATACCCTCGCATGGTTCATCGCCCTACAAACGTAAAACCAAGCGCGCCACCCAACCTGAAAACCTTATTCGGCGCGACAGGAGGTGTACCAGCCCGGCAATGCTTAAGTTTTTTTACAAAATTGATGCTGGGATTTCCTAAATATGACGATGCCCACACATACATCTGTTACATAAACATAAAATTCTGCTATAATTTTATTTCAAGCTGTACTACGCCGTGCGAGGTGCGAAGCTAGATTGAACATACACGTACCCATAAACTACCCTTAGCATGTGCCTCAATCTGATTGGTCAAAACCTCTGCAGGAGACAGGCAACTGCCCTCATATACTCCGTGTATACAGGACAAATATTTCCCGCTATTCTCCGAAACGCGGGAAAGTGATATTCTCGTGAAATGCCAGAATCTATAAAAACAATTAGATAACTTTCTTTCTTAACTTATGGATGTATTTATACATTCGAATAATGCAAGGACTGTTAAATCTGCCGAGGGTTACAGCAACGGCTGACTTGATTTTTGTTTGTTTGTGCACTTTTCATCGTTTGTGCTTGTTTCGTTATGTTCAATTGTTACTACATACTTCTGACATCTAGATAATCAGTGGTGCTTAGAGAGACATCACCTTATCGAAATAAGAACGTATTTATAAGTGAAAAGAAGGAATAGGGGCCGGAAATGTCGCAATGGAAGCAGTAAATGAGTTTTACTTTCTACAATTTCCTTCGTAGTTGGAGCACCACGTTAGTCGCCTTATACGACCACTCGAATAAAACATGTAACTGGTTAAATTCGCCTAGACATCTGATTTTCTTCTACATATTCAATGTTGAACAGTTGCATATCAAAGAATAATCAAAGCTTTCCTACTTCAATTGTCTACCTAAATGAAACAAAAATGTATACAACGTATGGTCTGTATTTTAAACTAGGACAACTCAACAACTTAGGCTAAAAGAGGGCGGTGTACAAATTAAACTAGGACAACTCAACAACTTAGGCTAAATAAGGGCGGTGTACACCTTAAACTAGGACAACTTAACAACTTAGGCTAAATGCGGGCGGTGTACACCTTAGACTAGGACAACTCAAAAACTTAGGCTAAATGAGGGCAGTGTACCCCTTAAACTAGGACAACTCAACAACTTAGGCCAAACGAGGGCGGTGTACACCTTAAACTAGGACAACTTAACAACTTAGGCTAAATAAGGGCGGTGTACACCTTAAACTAGGACAACTCAAAAACTTAGGCC